AAAGGAAAAAGAGAAAAGGAAACCAGACATTGGAGGAAAGCTCCATAACCACGACGCAAAAATAAAACAAATTAGAAGAAAGTGAGATAAAGCACCATCACGACAAAAGAGGAATAACCCTGGCAAACAATGACGCCAGCGTCGCCGACATCAGTAATGTCATGATGTATGTTTCTTGCTCCCACATTGCTGGGAAAGGTCGCATCTGCTTGGTCGACAGCGTGATTGCCCTCATCATCATAATGGATATCCGAATCGTTAATCATCCCCTCCACGCTATGGTTAGCAGGATCATCAGACCTGACATGGGCTTCGGCTTCGTCGTGCTCACCGTTGACGGCAACCTCGACGTCACTGTTTTCAGAATCATTGATCATTCCCTCTACGCTGTGGGTAACCTTCTCATCTGGCATGTCCTCGGCGAGTGCTTCATCGTCCTCCACCTTGTCCACCTCCTCCTCCTTGCCAAACCCATGAAAACCTGGGAGTTCACAATCATTGATCATTCCCTCTACGCCGTGGGTGACATTCTCATCTGTCATGTCCTCGGCGAGTGCTTCATCGTCCTCCTCGTCGTCCTCATCCTCCTCATCAAAGCCATCAGGATCAGGGAGTCCACAATCATTGATCATTCCCTCTACGCTGTCGGTTGCACTCTCGTCTGAACTGCCTTTGGTGTTTGCTTCATCATCCTCCTCAACGCTCTCATCGACTTCATGACTTTCGGAATCATTGATCATTCCCTCCTCGCTCTCAGTGGCAGGCTCATCAGAAATGTCCTCTGAATCATTGATCATTCCCTCCTCGCTGTGGGTGGCACTCTCATCTGACATGTTCTCAGCTTTTGCTTCATCGTCCTCCTCAACGCTCTCATCGACTTCATGAATTTCAGAATCATTGATCATTCCCTCCTCGCTCTCAGTGGCAGGCTCATCAGAAATGTCCTCTGAATCATTGATCATTCCGTCTACGCTTTGGGTGACACTCTCATCTGACTTGTCGTCGGCATGTGCTTCAAGATCCTCGTCGTCGACGGCCTCCTCGACGTCAATATTTTTAAAATCATTGATCATTCCCTCCACGCTGTGGCTGGCTCCGCCAGGTGACATGACATTGGCTTCTACTTCGTCGTACCTGACGCTCTCATCTATGTCATCGGTTTCAGAATCATTGACCTTTCCCTCCGCATTGTGGCTTCCGGCCTGATCCTTTATGCCATTTGCGTTTTCGTGGTTGGCGTCACCGGGGATATTTTTGTCTGTCGTTTGCGTAGAAGTAGAAGATTTGACCTTTTTACTACTATTTTTCTTAACATAAGCAGGGCAGTTTAAATTCTATAGAATATATGGACCATCTGTGCTACCTATGTCTTATCCGTTGAGTTTTTTTTCAGGCGTCTTTTGCGGTGACCTATGATTTCCGCGCGTCTGGTTTGTTTAAAATATCTGTGAATTTTGGTTTAGGCTGCTCAGTCTAATATTTTATGTGAGTTGTGTATTTCTAATCATGAAGATTTTATTATATTTTGTCTACTTTTGCGTAAGATCGGTCACTACGTTAATGTAGGCCATTATCTTTTAGAGGCCACGCGAATCATTCCCTTCCTCACGCCAAAGCATGTCCACTAAATGAACAGTCTTCTCAATGGTATCAGCCTATTTGTACAAATGTTACCCTATTCAGCATTTTTTCTGTCCCGTGAAAATGGTTAAGTACTCCTCCAATTCTCCTGATAGAACTGCTGTGGATGCCGACAGCAAAAATAGCGGATGTCCTGTATCCATATCGACCAACGACAGCAGTCAGATTGCTTTCCAAACCCCCAAGAAGACACGCGATTTCTGTTAGCTCTTTGTTCTTATTTGGTTCGAAATGACGCATTTTTGCTTAACTGCTGACTTAGATACCCTAGTCTTTGAAGGCCTGCCTTATTGTAGACAAGAAATAACCGAATGTTATTCACATGAAGGTGATCAGTTAAAGTTTCTGCTTGGACAAATGCTAGGCTGTTTAATTTCAAAATGGTCGCATTCTGCAGAGTCAGGCATGAGAGCGTAAAGGTCAGCCTACTAGAAATTCTGATTACGGAAAGTCGTGAAACATACTTCTGTAGAACTGAAAATTTGATAGGCAGTGCAAATTAACCTACTAAATCTGGTCAACGTAGGCCAGAGGCTAGTTGGAAGACCGTAGGGCTGGAAAGGAGTCCAATAAAAAGTTCGGAATTTATGCATAGGGATCAGTTTATCGGAGCTTTATTTTTAATATGCAGAACTTACCCTTTGTGAGGCGATCGTCGAGGATAGTGTTGGAAGTGTTGCTAGAAGTGTGTCTGCTGCCCGGAGATGCGACTGAAAGACAGCAAGACAGAAGCAGGCTGATGAGAATGACCGCGTGGACGGCGGCACCCATGGAGACAAAGTGTTGTGAGGTCATCGAACTTGTGCTCAGAGAACCACCGCGACGAAACATTATCAGATTGCGCATTTCTACAGTGTCTTGCTATATAAAGGCCGCTTGCCGGCTGTCCACTCGTGAGTTGTCGGTCAGTAGGTAGACAGACGACCGCTGATCGAATATTGATTGGTCGATTGGCGAGTGGGAACTCACTCTATGCGTTGGCACCAACTGGGTCCCGATCCGTGGCTTTTGCCGATTGGAGAGTAATTTCTCTCCCTCTGCCGTCCCCCAGTGTGTCTGTGGATCGTTTTTACCCGCAACAAACCTCCTAGTTACCCTGTCCCCAAACACGAGGGGTGTTTTAAATGCTCAGAAAGTGACAGTCGTTCAAGGTTCTACTATTATGGCCACACTGGTCAATAACATAAAGTTTAGGAACTAAGGTGTGGTATAAACCAGCAAACACATATTCAGGTCATCCATGTAATTCATTTAATGCATTTGTGGGCAACCTCGTGAACGGAGTGTCGCACCTGCCCTAAGCTCTTGTCGGCTACCAATAAGAGATTTTTAGTTGCTTTCGAACCACCGTATCACGAACCTGTGCTGCCTGTATACCAGGGGTTGTTTATCAGACCCTCGGCAATTATTGTTTCGTTGGCACTCCACTTTCTTGTACGCTGAGATCTAGCATCTCGCTTAGATCTGGTTTCAGCGGTATCCGCCAGTCAGGGCGTTGTCCCCGATAAACTGACTTAACTTCAAACGTACGGTTGATCCCCAGTCTCATGAAACCTCAACCGAAATTCTAAAATGCGTTTTTGATTCAAATAAAGTACAGCTCAGTCTCAAGAGGTTTCAGTCACCTCAGAAAGCCACCTTATGAAAGATTTTTTTTCTGACCAGCTGCAGAGTACATTTGGTGAAAAAACGGCTACATACTTAGTAATTATTTTTCTCGTTGATTTTACTGTCCCTATAAATTCAAATATATTTCACAGGAAATATGTATAAAGAAATTTATTTCGAGGGTTGAAACCCCTAGGCTTAGGTATGGCTGCCTGATGAAGGCTAATTCGTCAGAAACGGCTTGTGGGTTATGCATTTCTGCCTATATGCTAACCGTTGAGCGACTGCTTGTTGGGCTCGGGAGCGAGCTCCAAGCCGCAACAGAACGGGTAAGATCCGTAACTGATCGGTGAGTGCCGTTTTGCATATTTCTGACCAAAAACTGCAAGACAACGAACCCGTAGTTAGAGCGTCCGATTTATAACTCACAAGGTCATCTGTTTGCGTCCTAGGAGTTGTCACACCTGGTGTTGGGTATGGCTGGCTGATGACGGCTAACAAGCCAGAAATATCGATTCTAGTCTCCTTTGTCTTTCTATATATATATATATATATTGCCAATAGAAGCGAAAATCCAAGTCCCCGGGCATAAATGAGAAGAAGAGGCGATCACGGGAACCATAG